ATGAAACATAAAAAATAATTTAAAATAAAAATCTATTTATATTAACTTGGCTTAAACGTTTTTTTGCCTTCTCCTGAAAAGTTACTACTTTGAAAGTAAAATAATAGTAAAATACTTTACTACTATTTTTTTTAATACATGGAAATACTGCCAAATAAAAACTCTGTTTTATCTTTTTTATATTTTATCTGTTCCAAGTAGTTTGCAAACCTAAGAAAACCTTAATATCATGACACATTCAATGAATCACAAAAATGTTTTCATATTAAAATAATGTTATATTTTTGCCATAGTGCCCCCTTACCCAGAAATTTAACCCCTTAAATTCTAAGGGATCAGTCAACTTTAGTTTCCCACTCTCATAACTACATAGTAGTTACATAGTAGTTACAGAATAACAAGTCTAAAGATGACTAACTGAATAAAGGCCTAGAGTTTGAGGGGTCAGCATATATGCAAGTTGAGCCTTGTTTGTCTAAACTGTTTTAGATACTGTTTCAGTATCTAACTCACGCTCTCACATGTCTGACCTAACTCTCACAGAAACATTCAGACAGATAACAAAGGATCTTTTCATATCCAGAAGATGATTCTACTCCGTCTCATGACAGGTCAGCATCGGCTATGAAAAATGTGCTAGGCCACACAGAAACAAGTTCAAAACGGTGTTCATTTCCTGGATAAAAATGAGGAGGGGGAGATAGTAACATCCCCCTGAGACCAGATATTCGGCTCAGGGTTTATTTTGTCTATGGATCATTATCATAGCCTCTTCCTGGACGGCGTCGAGGTCTGTTAATATGAGCACGTTTGACAGGATGCTGTTGTAGATTCCCTGACGACTTTCTACTCATTCAGGCCTGTAACTCGTGGAGACAGATGCAGGCTTTGCAAAGAAATCGACTCGACATAGACCAGCCTGCCCTTTTATGCACTCTGAGTCCGAAAGCACCCCAACAAAAGCCCTGTATCAACACAGCAATGTGGCCAATTTGCTGAGAGGACACTATCTGCTGATAGCATATGCCTCAGCCTCCTGAGAATGCAGAGTATACAATTCTCTCTCTCTTTTCCTCTCTCTGTGTGTGAGAGCTTGTTTTTGTACATTTTCGGGACATGTCCTGAATTTGTAGGCAAAACAAGAAAAAAAAGGGTTAACCTAACAAAATGGTCCTGAGTTCGTAAAGTGATTTTCTACAAAAGCTACATTTTTTTAATCTGAATGAGGAAAAAACATTTCTTTTCAATTACTGAGATTACGGTTGAGGTTAGAGTTACAGATTATTACATATTAGTGAGGAGTTTATAAGCTACTGTGGATAAGAGCATCTGCTAAATGCCCTAAATTTCAATGTAAATGTGATTAGCTACACATATATAGTACATAAAGGACAAATAAATGACCTGTATAAAAACAAACGTGCGGGTTTGCAACCACGGCATGAATTAGGTCACTGACACAAAGTATGCTTTATTCAAAGCACTGCAACCTCTGAAAAATGTAGAGATGCTTTAGGAGACAAACCTCGCATTCACACTTCACTCCACCCTCAAAACAAGACTCTGTCTAGACTACAAAGCTAATTGCACCGAACGAGCATACAGGACATAGCTGGACTGACAGTGATCTGCTCATCAGAGGAAAAAAACACTATAGCGCACTGATCCACCCTTCCTCACAGCGCACTGAAGCATGGCAATGAGGCATCACCGGAAAAGGGTGCTTCTGGAGTCAGCAATTATGAAGTGCAGGCAAAGACGTCTTCTCCTCTGGCTTCCCCACCACCCTTTCCAGTGAGCTGTGATCTTTTGGAACTCCTCCAGAGCCGTATTCTTTACCGCCTGCGGCTGAGCTTTGGAATTCCCAAAGCGAGCCAAACCTCGGAAACTCTGAGGGGAGACTTGAACCGAACCCAGAATGGATGTACAGCCTGTAATTAAAGGGGTGCTGAATCGCGTAGATGCTGATGTTATGGGAGAGGCCAAATGACTTTACAGTATGACTTATTTCCGCCTCTGGTGAAAAGCCAGAAATGATCCAAAACCCAAAAAAGAGGAATCCAAAAGGTAGAACAGACAGAGGGAGGGAGAGAGGGAAAGAGGCATTACAATGCTGACAAACGCCAGTCTAGGGATGGGTGACACGGCATATATCACGATACTTCAAGGCATCATCACGATATACAATATGTATCATGATATTTAGTTTTTCTGAGGTTTGAAATATTAGAACAGATCAAAAAGAACCTGCAGTGCCACACTTAAAAATATAACAATATCACATACAATGATCCTTTGCACATAATGCACTGTACCAAATCCTATTAAACAGGACATGCTCTTGTGACATAATGTGATGTGATTTGTTACGATAACAATAAATATGGTCTCAGTAAGAACAATTATTCATTAACTCCCTTCACCTGCTTTTTAGGCCATAATATAGGCTAACTCTGTCCTGCTGTACAGCTGACTATCAGTCACTTAGCTTTTACTTATTGTTAAAAATCTGCCAAACTGTCATTAACATAACTGAATCACTTGTAGGCCTTTGTCTGCTGCACTCAACTTTAACAGTCACTGTGAAAATGCTTAACCAGCTGCACAAATTCAACATGTGCTGCACTGATCACACTCTAAGTGCATAGTGGCTGAGCCTCTCAGTGAAGGCCTGTGCTGATCCACCAATCAAACCAAACTGATGAATCTATTAGTCCCATACAAACAGCCAAGCTGTGCCATTCCACATCCATTTAGGACTGGCTAGCACCAATGGACAGGCACCAGTCCATTTAATAGTTACAGCACCATCTACCATTGCATTGTCTCATAATCCTACATTGTAATAATACGTACATAATGCATGCATGATTCTAAAGTTTACTGGTATCGATCTTCAGTTAACCCTTCAGACAGTCTAAAATGTGACTGTTATGGAAAGATACTGATGCTGAACATCAAGCGTGGCCTGCGTCCACACCCACTCGGTACCTCAAAGCCCACCCTAGCCGTACCTCTTAGAGCGCTATTGACTCGACGATCTGTCTGAAAGTGAGCTAGACTGCTGTCCTTTTTAGTCCACACCCTCAGACTGGTACATGTCAGGTTATTCCAGCGCGCTCTCCCACCGCTGAACACTGCTGGATGTGAGTGAGGGGTGTCCTCACACCGAACAGCTGCCTTTGGGTCGTACCATTCCACTGCTACAAGGGGAGGGGGGGCGTGTCGCGTTTGCTAATGCAACATAAATGAAAGCGCCAACATTTCAGAAAACGAGGCCGCTGTTAGTGAGTGAAAATGACTCTGAGGCAGCTGCTATTAATGACAGTAAAAACGTGACTTGGTTTCGTCTATTTCTTAATTAGTCCAGAGTGGAAAAGCTAATAAACTGCCCCCCCCCCTTTTTTTTAATGGTCACATCTCTGAGTCGCAGGCTTTGTGAATGCGGCCACAGATCTGGGTGAGTTTGAATAGAGGCAGCGGGAGAAAGCCGAGACAAAAAGAGTTAAACAAGAGGCGAGTGCCTGAGACAGCTGGTCAGTAGTTCTTTGGCTTGATGAATGGAGTCTACAATAACACAATGAAGTAACTTTATTGTTTTTGCCCTCAGAGCCAGCTCCTTTCAAACGCTGCTGAACGCCAAACCTGCAGCAGTTTATGTCCTCAAACTTCGTTGTTGTTGTTGTTTTCTTGCAGTGCTGCTAACTTTAAGCTTTAGCCCCTTGTTTCTCGCCCATATGCCCTCAACACCTCCTTTGTTTCTTTTCTCCAGGGCGGAGGAGTGGTGGCCGTGTCGTTCGCCCGGCAGATGGTCAGCTTTCTTTGCCCGTGCCGTTCCCTGCATGTAAAGATGAGCTAATTAAACCGGCCTTTATTTCCATGGGAAAGGCAGTAGGGAGTCCGTGGGGATCTGCAGTAATGCAGGGTTTGGAGAAGCCACCTGTGAGTGCAGAGGCAGCGACAGTAACACTGAACACCACCACGAGTTTGTTGGTGAGGAGCCCATGATGGAAAACCATGTCATTTTCCTCACTTTATGAAAAGGAGTTTGATGCAGGTCTACAGGCTGCTTTATAGGTTCACAGCATACCTTTCACTCCTCTGGGCTTGTATGCAAAATAGGCTATAAAAACAGCCCGTTTTGCACTCATTGTTTTTGTGATGTCATGAAAACCAACTCATTTGCATATATCCACGTGTTCAGCCTGGATACGTACAGCCCCGCCCATTTATACTGCAGTTACAAGGCTGCCTGGACTGCCCTTTGAAATGAGGCACAATACAGGACAGTCAATCAGAACATATATCAGGTAATTTACATATTTACATTAGTCTTAAAGGCACAGTAACAAAAACAGCCCATTTACTTCTAAGGGATAACGAGAGATGCAGAAATGAAGAGGTCATATAAAAATGAATTATGTTTATGTTTTTGGTACATAAACCATGCAAATGTAATAAATGGACCTTGAGGAAAAAATAGAAGAAAAACGTGGGATATGGTCCCTTAAACAAGCAGGTAGAGTGTTCTTGTTAGTATCATTTTTAGAAATTATGTGTAAATAGATTTACAGTCTCGCCAAAGGAAAATATTATTGTTTTTTTTCGTACATACGAAATGAACGTCACTTGAATTTGCTATCCCCATTCTGCCACCTCTTTTTTTAAAGAATCAACCAACACAGACAGAGTTTGATGTTAAAACATTTTGTTGTTTTATGTAAAGTAAAAAAAAAAAAATAGAAAAATTGCTACATTATATTTATAGGTACACACGCTGCTAATACATTTTGGAATTAATAAAACTACTGATTTCTGTGAGCAACAGGTCTATTTTTACAATCTAAACAGGTAATATCAAGTGTGTTCTTAGCCTCTATTTCTATATTAGCTCTACACACCATTTGTATATTTATCACAGTAATTAGTTTAATGGATTGTTATTACACAGATCATAAGAAATGTCCAGTGAAAGTACACAACCCTGCTGTGTTGTACTTTCAGCCATTTTGTTCTGATACTTCTATGTGCCGCAGATTTTCCTTCACCCGCACAAACTCGGGGACGTTTTCTCGACCTTCTCTGCGTTTTATCTCCTCCATTTCATACTGTGATAAAAACACATTAAACATCTGAGGTTAAAAACAACAACAACAACAAGCATAGCAGCATTACAACAGAGAGAGTAAAATAAATCTGAGTTAATAGCATCTGTGCTGCTGTCATTTCCAATAACATTATTAAGGTTTAAAAAGGTTTTGTGAAGGTTTAATTAAAGGTGTTTTCAAAATGTTTGTAATAGGTAAAAAAGTAGAGTACAAGTCAAAGGTTTAGATATTCCTGATTTAATGTATATTTTTTATAATCTTAAAGATGTAATTCACATTATTATGCTTAAATGTGCTACACAAGGTCTCAGCATTTGGAACATCTTCAAGTCTGTTGAAAAGCATTCCCCTTATGTGGCTCCTTGTGAAGTTGTTTGAGAGAATGGCAAGAGTGCGTATAGTTGACATCAAAGCAAAACGGGATACTTTTAAGGATCTAAGATCATTTTGTTTCTTCATTAATTTAGTCAGTGTGTGATTCCAGGTCTGTTATTTCATAGTGTGATGTCTTCTGTTTTATTCTGAAATGAGTAAAATAGTCAGCTAAAAAGGAACCCCCTTGTATGAGCTGTGTTAAGATAGTTACTAAAAAAAGCAATACGTTACAAATGACTCATTACTTCTCTCAGACTGTGATGGGATTACTTAACTAATTACTTCCTGGAAAATCTCAGTAGTCATATCCGTATTTTATTTAGAAAGCTAGTCACAGTAAACATCATTTAAATGGCCTGTCACAACCCCAGATTTTGAACAAGGCACAGTCAGTTAAGCTTATTATTTTTATGAACGGCTGACTGTTTGAAGGTCTAAAGACACATGCCTCGAAATAAAATCATTATGAATAAAATGTAACGCTTACAGAGCTCTTCCCGAATGAAAGGCGAGTTGGGCCCGTTGAAGTGAGGTTTAGATTCTCTCTTCTTCAAGAAAGAGATCTTTTTCCATCGGTTTTATATTAGCATGATTAGATGCTTCCACAGATGTCAAGTTTACTGCACTTCCTGCACTCATATTCAAAATCAAAGTTACGCAGTCAGCTGTAGTGTGTAGTACAAGCGTACGCAAATTGCGTACAAGGACAGGCACAGATAATGTACAGCGGGGTCCAAAAGTCTGAGACCATGTTGAAAATCTGGTATTTTCTTTTATTTAAACCTGGAAATAAACATCCAGAAGCATCTTGAAAAAAGTTCTGATAATTCAAATGAAGAAGAAATGTTCAAAACTCTGCACTGTTCTTTGGTCACTATTCAAATTGAAGCAAATTTGTAATATTGACCATGTTGAGGCCTTTGTACAAAAAGGTCATTATTGTAGTCTTTAGTCTTACTTAGTCTTAAGTGCTTAGTCTTATTTCTTTCATTGTAGCACATGTTCAGATGACTCTCAGGTGTATTTGACCTACTGGTCAGAGGCTTTTGCACAAACTTGTGGAGTTCATGCCAGCTCGAGCAAAAGTGGGGCACACCAAGTACTGAAAAATTCTGGGATTCAAGTAAAGAAAAACTTCTCTTTTTTTAAATAAAAAAGTTTCATGTAGTATGTAAACATTGTTGAAGTTTCAAAACACTTCACTGTTTTTGTGATGTCACAGAAAACAACCTATTTACATATATCAGTCTATTCAACTGTACAGCACTTTAGTTCCACCCATTCACAAGTTATAAGAAATGTTTCAGCTGAGACTCCCATTTGAATGAGGCACAATACAAGGCAGCCAATAAGCAGCAAATCACTTACATATATCAGTCTTAAAGGCACAGTAAAAAAGACAGCCTGATTAATTCTGAGAGATAAAGAGAGGTTGGAAAATGGTCATGCAAAAATGAATTATGAATTATTACATTGTAAGTGGACCTCAAGGAAAAAGATAAAATACACAAAAAAATAGGACATAGGCCCATTAAATGCATCACATGTAATTAATAATGCTCACATACAGACATATGAGTAACATAAGTAATGTCATTTTTATTAAATTAGTACCTGTAGTGTGATTTAACCTGTAATGCTTTACAATATTTCATTACAGGAAAAAGTAATCAAATTACTGTAACACGTTACTTTGTAAACTGACAACGAATAGATGTGTCTAAACGTTTGACTGGTAGTGTACCTAAGCAAAGCAAGTCTTGGCTACAGCAAACATAAATAATATTAGGGTCTAATTTTATTCCAAGGCATATTAGTCCAAAGCATAGGACGCATAAGAAAGGCAAAGCACTATCAGGCTTATTAGAAGTGGAGACCAGATGTATCACATAAACAAACAGAATGTGTAAAGTGTATTAGTGTTGTAAGAGGGTGATGGGCACCTCCTGCAGTCTCTGCTGTCTCTTGCGAAGCTCCTGCTCCAGGTCGGAGGGAGGTCGGAGGGCGAGCTCCTGCTCTCGGTGCTGCTCCAACCTGCGCTGCTCCAAAACCCTCTGCAGCTCTGGCTTCTCCTCCAACAACAGACCCCTACACACATAACACTCTGCGATTAACCCGAAATGATAAGATAAGCTCTGGAGAGGAAGATATCAGTACATACTCTATGAATATTTTCACATATTAGCAAAACTTCAACATTTTAATGAACACCCAACCCATGATGCCATGATACATATAGCTTTGTTTAAGTTATAAAACATGAGAGGAAGTGGTATCATGAATAACATTACGGCTGTGATTTGGTCACAAGCATGAGCAAAAGCCAAGTTACATAGATCATCACTGCTGTGATGTTACACTGCTGTTATACAACAGTTCTCAAAATAAAACAAAAAGGTAAAGCAAAGAATCCCAAAACTTTGTATCAAATGTGCTTTAATACTGGCGATTCCTTCTGTCAAAAAAGTAGTACCCTTTTGCTTATAGAACCATAAAGCTAAGGCAATATCAGGTTCAGCTCAGTTTTGCAGTATTTGCCAGATTAACCTGAAATGTTTTGTTTCAGTCAATCTGTGAAGTATTTCACAGCCAATCTCATTTGCTGAATTGTATTCTGTTTGTTTCTGGCTAGTTCCAGTTTGCTTTCCAGGAGCTGCCAATCGAAGAGCTACTTTATGCTCAGCAACAGGTTCAAAGTTTGACGTAGGCCTATGGTCATACTCTTCTGCAGACTCTGACCAAATGGGATACAGGTTACATAATATTTTAGCAATTTTCTGTTTTTCTATGTTCTAAAGTAGAAAATTAGTATGATCCATCACTTAGTAACCAATATTCGGAATTATATTATTGTGGAAAAGAGTGCTGTTATCATGTTAACAGCATGAGTAGAACACGTCTTAACCAGTCAGACTGTACCATTGGATCTAACTGTTGAATAATTCTCTAACCCAAATTGGTCATAATCACTTTTAGAAAATCTAGTGTGGTGCAGGACCATTAAAAGAATTCCAATATCAAGACATATGCAAATGATCAACGCTTGCCCATATGTGTTATTCTGTTTTAGCCAAAAAGGATACATTAGTAAAATAGCGATTATTGTATTCGGTTTCCAGGGTTGATAACCTCTAGTCACCTCTTATGGCTAAGCAGCAGTTCTTTATGGAGGTTCTGGTGGCTTGGACACTCAATGGGAGAGCCGTTTAGCTTACGAAGCTGAGTGACCTCCTCACTGCCCTCTGTGCTCTGTCGAGACAGAGATGCTTGGCACACATAGTTCTCTACAGGAAAAGAGACATAGACACATTCACTCTTTGAACATAAAGACCAGCTTATTGTCATTTGGTTCAGCCCATCTATATTCAAGCATATCAAATAACTCCACTGTTTGTGTACACTTAAAAGATAAATAAATATATTTTTATGTACGTTTTGAAAATGATCTCAATGCTAACACTAGTCCACTTTGCAAATGCCTAACTTGTCTTGAACTTACATTTCATTAATTATTTAATAACCTTTCCCAAACCCTACATTTAACACTCACTCTAACCCTAGCTGGAACCACAACCCAAATTTAATCTTAACCCTAACGCTGGTTCTAAACCTAAACCCTAACATTGGTTCTAATCTAATCCTAACCGGGGTTGAATCTCAAATGGCTCCCTACTCCCTATGTGCATAATATGTCTAAGAAATAGCCGTTTGGTATTCAGCCACACATGCACAATTCCACATTGGACAATAGAGCACTGTTTGAGTGTGGAAGCCAGAATTTCAGAACTTTCACTGCACACTATACAGGGAGTGAGGAGCCATTTGAGATTCAGAGTTTTACCAGATAGGTTGTTAATTATTCGGGCATCTATAGACAGTCTGTTTAGGGAACTATCCAAATTTGCTTCTTTACTTGCTTATTGTTATGTCTCAAACAAGTTCTCAAGGCATGCCACACCACCCTCTACCATGTAATGTTATCATAAATGCTTACAGTGCCTATTTAAGATTTTATATAAGAAATTTAAGTAAGTAATAAGCAATGAGTGATATCATGTTGCAGGTTGTGAAAGATCTATTTGAAACCAGTTACTATGAATGATCTGCATTATGAATAAGAGGGAGATAAACAGATGTCAGTGCTGTCTGCATAGTGCTGATAGAAGATAACTGGATCTTTCCATGAGTTGTGAATGTACAATTCTGTAAATATCTGTATGAGGGGCCTAATAAAGATTATAGGGGGCCCGGTCACCACAGGCCTCCCTGCTCCCGGTAACACTGCCTCTTAAGTGTAACAGTCACTGTTTTGGATTTACTACAGATTCTTATTTTATTTTTTTTTATGTCTATATGTTTATAAAAGGCATACATATAAAATGAGTTCTTTTTTTCTGGTTGTTATTACTTTCCTATTCTGGTTGTTATAACATTGAAATAATAAAACAAATACTAGAAACTAATCAGGGTTATACCTTTTTTGTGGTGTCTAAAGCCAGGTCGCTGAAGCATTCCAGAATGAGAAAATGAGACAGAGAGAAAGGCGGGGGTGGGGAGAGAGAGGGAGAGAGAGAAAGAGAGAGGGAGAGAGAGAGAGGGAGATTTGTTATTTATTTCACTCCTAACACAAGCATTTACTACTATAATCGTGATGTTAAGTGAATGTATGTGTAAACTGTAATTCATCAGTCACTGTATATCATAAGTATTCTCTTATACTGATGAAATGCTAGATCAGATCAGTGGATTAAGGCTGTAATTATATAAGCTCTAAATACGGTGATACCTGCTGGGACTAGACTCACTAGATCTACTAAGAGTGAAGCACAAGGTCAGAATACTATTTTAGTCTTTTAGCTCGAATGCCTGTTTACCTCCCACCCCACAGCAACTCAAATGCTGAAATGGTCAAATATATGACACCCAGCAGGCTCTGTTTGCAGTAATTTGCATATGAAATGTGGCTAACTGTAGGTAAAGACTTAAAGGCGTGGATGTTGTCAGGGTGTTTGTTAAGGAAGTGGGGGTAGGGTGGAAGTAAACTCTGTAAATCCAGTGGTATCACACTATCCAGAGCCCAGAAGCAACTTTATGCCAAATAGAGGGACTAAATTTTACATCTGCCAGCATGTGTAATTCATTGCTGTGTTGTTCAGATCAGACTGGACTGGACATCTGATTGACACAGACAAAACCACTGATGATATGAAAACAAATGAGATGTCAGTTAAGCTTTCCAAAGATTACATAATCTGGACAACTTCTAGATTTTCATAGCTAAAATGACTGTCTAAGCATTACCCTGTAAACTAGTAATTCAAATACTAAAATGCAGATCATATTAAAGGGGAATTCCAAGATTTGAAAAAAAAAATCTGCATAATTAAATGGTTAGGATGTAAACAGTCAGCCAGAATGGTTTGATGTGAAATGCTTTGCTCTAGAGAAACTTCCTGAGTCAGAATTGTTTACAGTGGTGATGATAAGAACCAGATGTCTGAAGCCTCTTAAAGCTCATAGAAAGTCATTACATGAAATGGTTACAAATATGTTGACTGACGCCCAAAACATTTTTAATGATAATTTAACATAAGCTTTTAGGCTAAAATGCATTTTTGTAAATCCATCCATGGCAGAGAGGTACCTGCAAGTGGTTGTGTGGTTGTTTGAGATTTACCACTATTTTCCCATTATCAAAATTACTTCTAAAAGCTCAGAAGATGCATGTAGGTTCACTGATCATTGTGGACAGCAAATACAATGGCTATATCTATATTTGCCGTAGACAGTGCAACCCCTGGTTCCTATCACCAGCGCTGTAAAGAAAATCTAATCTGGGAAGTTTCTCTAAAAAGCATCATCTCACTTCAAAACACTCTGACTGACTTTGCTTACATCTTAAGGATTGAATTACACAGAAATTTTGAAAAATTGTCAGAATGTCCCTTTAAAGTTGACCTATGATACTCTATGTTGTGACTGCCAGTCTCTAAACTGAAACTACACAAGTGCAGTTAAGCTGATTCTGAGGACGGACTCATTCATTCTCAGGATGGACTCACTTTCCATACAAGTAGCCTCCAAACAAGTAGCCTGTAAATTCCCGTCCATGACATTTTCCCCACTGAAACCCCATAAACTCACCTCCACACATGTAGTAGTTTGCTTCTTTGCTGTATCCAGCATTGTATTGGATGGTGAGGGTGCAGACATTGAGATGTCCCTTAGTGACTATCAACAATGGTTGCAGACATCCCCTACAATCCCATTATGCCATTCAGGATTAACTTGCTCTGCAATCCCAGGCGCACAGGATGGTAGATTAGCTAATTGCTATAGACATAAATGCTGCTTTTAACTGAAGTAATACAACACTCAAGATACTTGAACTCCTGCTCTTTTAATTCTCCCTGGTAAATATGGAGATGTCGCACCAAAGACGAGTGTAGAAGGCCACAGTTTTGGCTCTGACTGTGAAGATTACATTGCAGACACAGGATGTTGTACTTAGAGCATAAAAAAACATATTTACAGTCAGACAAAAAGGATAAAAAGCTGTGACAGCCATTGTAAAGGACAAAAAAGGAACACAGTTTGATTCAGTTTTTGTCTTTAAAATGACTGTCAACAACAGTCCTTCACAGGCCACTGGGCGATAACACGTAGGCTATTAACAAAATTATACTTGTAAGAAAAAGGACATTTAAGATAATTGCCAAAATTAAGCTTCACATATTTTCCAAAATGTGGAATTGACCTGAGCTAGGGCTGGGTGTTGATTCCAAAAAGATTTGATTCTCTGTTTCCAGGCATTTGGAAATCGAGAGTTGACTCTGAAGGTTTGAGCTCGATTCTGCTAGTTTACCGAATACAAGAGTATGAGATATTCTGCCGTGACTCTATGGAAAATGCCCCTTTCACAACGCACACATCAGTAGGCTGGCTAGATTTTACACAGACAAAGAGGAAAACAAAATAAAATATAAAATTTGTAATAAAAAAACAATTTACAGTCTAACAATGTACTGCTGGTGCTGAAACATCTACTCACTGGGAGCTGTTGACAGAGGAAAATCAGATGGAATTTAACTAAAGCCCCCCTGTAAAGTCAGCCCCCAACCCGCCTTGATAATGCCAAATATGTCATGTAATTTAACTGATAATTAAACACTTCGTTCTTGAGGGTCAACTAATGTTGGATCACATTAACATGTCAGAATCTGCCATTCACACCATCAATAATTTAATATTGTTGTATGTGCTTAATAAATATTATACTCATTACCCCACCGAAACTCCTTCTCTATGTTGAAATGTGTATGTAATAGACTCTTGGAATCGACTTCATTCCTTTAGATTCGGAATCAGAGTCGACTCCAAAATTTCTGGAGTCGAACAGACATGCGTACTGTTGACGTTTAGTGTTAAGCTTGTATTAAACGAGATGTAGAGCTCGTTAAATTGTCTCTGTTGCTGTGTAATAAAATGCATTTAATAAGGCATTTCAGCGAGTATATTCATGCTTCACTGTGTTAAAAATGATCTTTCCGTGTGTTTTGAGAAACACAGAACTTCCCCACTGACTGGGAATGTAAACCTCCACTTTCCAGTCGCCCGTTGTACATACACTACAATGACCACATGGGGGCGCTGTGATTTTCTTTGATAGTTTCTGAGTCCTGAGCTATATAAAGCGACGTCCTCCCGGATGTGAGCTCAGTTTGAATGCGCGTTTGTGTGTGCTGGGGTGAACGAGTGTGAGTGTTCGGCTGTTTTGAATGATGTGTGTGTGTGTGTGTTTTTTTTTAATAACCTACACCGTGATCTTATTTGATCCGGTCGGAGTTTCGTCCTGCTCCGACTCGGAGATGATAAGAAGCCGCTCGTTAGCCCGCTGTGGCGGTGAGCGTTTGTCGGCCCAAATCTTCAGGGCGCCCGCAGTAGAAACTGGGGGTAGAAATGATGAGTTGATCAGATATACTAGTGCCGCTGGGATTTTGGGGGCTACTCCCAAACTTCTTTCATGCGGCCAGTGAGTATTGAGGCGATTCTGATCTTCACCACGATTTCTACAACCAAGCGGGCGTTCTTGAAGCTTAGCTTTGGCTAACCGGAGGACGGCTAACACTAGCTAGGTAACGTTAGCTTAAGGGGTGTTTACCGCGCAGCGGCGCTGACTAACTTCTCTAACTTAGTTTTGCATGTTAATTCATTTTGTTCAGCGTTTAACGGAACATTTCCACAGAGCCCGTCGATAGCAGACTTATTATAACTGTCCGCAGTGATCACTCCGACAGTGTGCTTTGTGAGTTACTTTATTTTTTCGGCAGTGTTTTTTTTTCGTATCATACAGGTAAAGTTAGTACAGTATATCTAGCTGAGGAGTAGCTAGTATAGCTGCTTTTGGTAAAAACGGTGCTTTATGCTGAATAAAACCCGCCGTCGTGTTTCCTGGAGTAGCCTCGGTTTGTAGAAGCGTTGTGGTGAGACTCTAGAAGAAACAGAGCAGATGATCAGACTCTATCAGGAACAGTTTCACGGAGCTTCAAGGTGAATTCCACAGATTTTTAATCATTTATCCGTAATTTAGTCGTTAACGTGTA